ACACAAAACAATGAGTACTCGAGGAGAAAAAAGGAGGTAAGGAGCGTAAAAAAGAACAATAATGACCAGATTAGTGTAAGGTAGTGTAATAATAATAATAATAATAATAATAATAATAATAATAATAATAATAATAACAATAATAATAGTAATGGTGGGGGAAATGGAAAGGTACAGCCAGAAGAAATCTTCCAGTTAAGGAAGAAACAACCACTTTTTTATGAAGAAAGTAAAAGAAGGTTACAGCAGGATCGCCACTGGCCTCTATTCTGAGCCATATCTGATAACGTCTCTAGCCACTGTGTCGCACCATCTCTCGGACCCCAGCCAGGGAGTCGTGAAGGACCAACAGAAGCCGTCCTTTTGCAGGTTTCTTTCATACCACGACACCATGTCGTACACTGACCACCTCTCTGCTTTTTCCAACCAGCCCCAGCGTCGGAGAATAATGCCCGACGTGAAATTCTCGGGGACGACATTCGTAGAACATGTCCGAGCCACCGAAGCCGGTGTTTCAAGATGGTGACACCAATTGGATTATCGTCTCTGCGCCCGAACACACAATGCCGAACCTCTGCATTACTAAGATGGTGTTGCCACTGGATGTCAGCAATCCTTCGGAGACAACGATGATCAAACACAGAGAGTCGTCTAACATCCTCAACTCGGAGAGGCCAGGTTTCACAAGCATAGAGCAAAACCGCTCTCACCGACGCGTTGTAGATTCGACGTTTTACAGCCAGACTGACATCACGATGGCCTAGATTGGCATAAGCCACTCTGGCTTTCACTATAAGTACATTGATCCCATCACTCACGCCACCACCAGCACTTATGCAGCTACCCAAATACACGAACTTCTCGACTACTTCTATCTGCTCACCATCCAGGCTGAGTACAGGATTCGAATTCTGCCAGTCTTGTAGAAGCGCTTTGCACTTCGAAGGTGCAAAGCACATACCATACCTACGGACATTGATTGCCAACTGATTAAGTGCGGATTGCATGCCTTGGGCATTATCGCACAGTAAGACAATATCGTCCGCATACTCAAGGTCGAGAAGTCTTTCTCCAGGCAACAGATCCACACCACCATTACTTACATTCATCAGAGCTGTTTCCAGAATGTCATCGATGGCAAAGTTGAAGAGGAGTGGTGAGATTGGGCAACCATGCCTAACCCCACTGCTCGAATGGAACAATGGAGAAAGGTGGTTGTATGCCCTCACTCTGCCTGAGGTGTTTGTATATAGGGCTTTTAGGATGTCAATAAACTTCTAAGGCACACGCTTCTTCAATAGACAATCCCAGAGAACAGTCCTGTCCAACGAATCAAAGGCAGCCCTGATGTCAAGAAACACGACGATTGTTGGCCTTTCATAAGTATGACGGTGTTCTAACATTTGGCGGAGGGTAAAGATATGATCAATACATCCTCGACCGGAACGAAAACCAGCCTGCTCCTCGCGAGTCAATCTTTCTCGGGTTTTGAACAACCTACGAAGTATGACGGAAGCCAATAGCCTGGACGCAATCGGAAGTAAACTTATCCCCCGATAGTTTTTACAGGAACAGTTCGACCGGAGCAGCAGGTAAGTGAAACTGCTCTTAGAAGAATTCTGCCCATCGTCCAAGACGTCGACGGATGTTAGTGATTGGCATCCCATCATCCTCACAGATTGTTTCGATCACACCAGACTTCTTGCTGCCAGTGGCTCGGATGAGTTGGAAGAGCTTCCGGTAATTACCAGATGCAGCTGCTGCTTCCAACTCATTAGCACGCTTCGACCACCAGGCTTCTCGGTTCTTACGCAAGCTCTGCCCAATTTCCTTACGTAACACCCTTCGTTTATGGTCAAACTCACGGTCACCCGGAGTAGACCTACGGGCTTCAATGAGTTGTAAAGAGCCTGAAGAAACCCAGTGCTTATAAGCGGGACGTTTCGCGAACCCACAACTGACTGTACCCGCCATTTTCATGGCGTCATGCAACTGCAACCAATGCTCATCTATACTTTTCGGTGGAATGGTAGCTAGCCTAGAAACTAGCTCGGTTTGATACTTACTAGCAACAGAAGTTGCAACCAGCTTGCTAACATCAATCCTTTGCTGGCGGTCACTTCGTTGTCCACTGAAAAGTAAGGTAAGATTGGCGCAGACCAAAGCATGGTCAGAGTCCAGAGGGGTACTCCGAAAGGAGCGGCAGTCTTGTACACAACCACGCCAGCGGTAGCTGATCGCGATGTGATCAATCTGAGTTCAGGCTTGAGATACAGAGGGAAGACGCCAGGTGGCACATCGGCGATGACTAAGCCGGAAGTTAGTGCTAGCCAGAAACAAATTGTGGTTTGTGTACAGTTGCGGTAGACGGTCGCCGTTATCTGTTCTGCGACCAACAAGTCCCCATCGGCCACCTAAACGACCATCTTCTGTGCCTAGACGCCCGACCTGAGCATTCAAGTCTCCGGCTAGTACTACAATATCTGTCGAACGCACTTTCTGGAGAAGAACAGATGACTAGTGGTAAAACTCATTCTTGATTGCATCCGGGCTGCAATCTGTCGGGGCATAGGCGGAGATGACAAAAAGACATCGTTTCTCACGCCGATTTCTTCTCACTTTGATGGAACTTTCTAATCTAACAGCACATAACCGACTGTTAATGGGGATCCAGTTGATTAGTGCTGCCTCAGCTCTAGCGCTTAGTGCGACACCAACGCCAGCAAGACCAGACGAAGATGCCACAGGGTCCCCGGATAAGCGCACGTAAAACAAGCTTTTCGAAGCGACAGATGGAGAGCGAATTTGTAGTACTTCACCAGTCTTGAATACGGGTCTCGGATAGACAGCAAACATCAATATTAAGACTTTCTAAAGACATAGCCAGCCTTATCTGTTGTCCGACCTGCATAAGTGTGCGAACGTTGAAGGCAGCCAGTTTGAATGGTGCATGTGGTTTCAAAAAAAACTGCTTCAGTATTCGTATTTGGTGGTAGCATACAATTTTCTACCAGTCAGTGACTCGAGAACGTTTAGATAGGCGAGCTGCTATATAAGTCGAAAAATAAGGATACACAGAGTGGGAATAAAAGAGTGAATAAATGTTGTAATAAATAATAATAATAACAATAGTAGTAGTAATAATAATGATGTGAATCGTTTGATTGTTAATCGAAGCAAGAAAAGTATTTTCCATGAATATCGACATTACATCATATTTGTGTTTGGGCTGTGATACTGCCCGGATTCCCAGACCGAAGCAGGTGGTTTTCTTGGGCGGCCATGCCTGGAGCTTTCGACCTAAAGGTGTGATCCACAAGGCAGTGGAGCATCGTAAGGAAATGCAGTCTCATGGTAGCCGGTGACAAACGATTGGTTCATACGCCATTTGTTCCCTCAGGGTGCTGGAGCCCATGTGCACCAGTGGTTTGGAATCAGGGTTTTCCAACTGCCTTAGGTAAACTCACCGTGTCCACCAACCCGGTTAAAGCTCCGGACATTCGCTTGTCGTCCTCTCAATTCCGTAAACAACACCCCCGTCACAAGAAGGCAGTGAGTAGGACTTCCCTGGCAGAGGCTGTATACGCGTGGCCGTGTGAGAGCATATATATTTTGAAAGATAGATGGTGATGAATAATTCTATTGCAAGTGATTCCACGTATGCATTTACTTTTAACAAGCATTTCTGTATAAATATCAGAAAATTACTAAAGATCATACATCATGGTTATAATTTTCTTGGAAAAGCATACATTATTACATAAACAAAGTCAAAACATCTTATTATCTACAGCGTAATGATGAACGAATCATATCATAATACACTTTGATACCAGTGTTGACGCCAATTATTAACAACATATGGATGTAGAATTCAATGTCTACTGACACTTATTACATTCCAGATACTCATTGTTTACTGATTACGTTGACTGAATGAGAGGACTTGACCAACATTTGGAACTAAAACAAATTATATTGGTTACTACTTATTAACGGTTTGATACAATTACTCTAATTCTACAGGAAGTCAGCAGCAGCTATAATATCTCGAGGGGAATGTCTCTAGTCGTAGTCCCAGGTAACGTGGGTTCGGATTTTTCATACGGTAACGGTCCTTCAAAGGTTCAAAGTAAACTCACTTGGTGAGTGCCAGTAAATATGGAACTTAATTTTGAAGCTTCAATCTGATTACACGTTTAATATCTATAACAAGGCGCATAGCCTACTTTAAAACACAATATTAACTTAAAAATGATAGCAAAGAGCCTAGGTTTTGTGAGACTATATATCAACAGCTTGTACTATCGGTCTTGTATAGTAAAAAAAGACAAATAACGAGATGGATTTGTTGTGGTGACTAAGTTAGGAACTTTACATACAAGGAAATAAGTTTATCTAACCCAACAATACCTGAAGCATAGAAGTTACCCAAAGGTACCATTTCCTTAATACGTAAGTGTAAATTAACTTATACATATGAAGAAACCTACGGTATTAACTGGGAAATCAGATGATAAATTACAAAGTGCGTAGTGATTTAGACAACTAGTCAATATCCACCGCCAAGAATGAATAAGATAAAATTACATGCCAAAATGTCATACGGTAAAAAGGCATCAGAGATTACAAATACAATAAACGTTAGAAAACTCACTTGGATCTACAGATCCTGTTGATGACCAATGAGGCATCGGTGGACAACCAGGGGAGTTACCAAGACCAATCGCAGCAGCTGTTGCCATTCCGGATATAGAAGCTCCATTTTGATGTGTAGGGAGTGCTTCGTTAATATAACCAGCAGCCAAATGGTTGGGTGGCCTAGGACCTGGAATAACGGAGGAAGTAGGTCCTGTCCAGTGACTGTTCAGAGAACGTGATACGGCATTACCGTGATTCCAGCCACCAGGAACAATCGATGGGGCGCCCAAGGCCAAACTTGAACTTAAAGAAGGTGGAGCTAGTTGGCAAAGACCAGCAGCAGCTGAATGATTCCAAGAGTCAATGGAATTGACTAATGGATCAAGAGAATTATGCCCAGAACCAGGTACAGTCCCCAGCGGAGCTAAACAGATTGAATCCCAACCGGGCTGAGACTTGTGTACAGATTGTTGATTGTATAGTGAGTCATCATTTAATGTGTGAACTATAAAGTGCAAAGAATGATACAAAGGTCAGCAAGGCACAAGCTGTAGTTAGAGCAGTAGTATAAAGGTCTAGATACAACTTTCAATGATCTGATCATCAGATTATTTCATTATGACAACCAGATAGTGTATCTAGCCCTCATGTTAATTATGGCCTAAAAATTACCAAAAGAACCAGTGCTTGTTTATTTACTCGAACAAACCATTTCGGGTACAAAACGCCAAGCAAAAAAACACTAAAAAATGTGGTACATGGAATGGGAATACTAGTTGCCAAGTATTAAGATGTAATCTATCATGATGGGTGATTTTGGTCCAGTATATCATACAGCCCATAACAAATGTATTAGTATGAGTTTGAAATACGCTACAGTGCATATTTAGAACAGCAATTCTTTACATAATTACGTTTCCGGCAGCCGAGTGCAATATGACGAACTTATATTTTCAGTGGCAGAGATATCAGTATGCACACCGGTGATGTCTTATAAATTGATTGACACTGACTAACAAAGAGATCTATGCGAAGTTGTAATGGACCACCAGTATTACCTAATCTCAAGATAAAAAGTCCACGCCGCACTAACTCCCCAAGAGGCTTTTATCTATGTACATACCCAACCCGTATATTTAACCCCATGGTTAATATAACCATCTCCGTCGAGAAAATGCTTGATGGGAGTTATTCATTTGGGGGTAGAACTCATCCAGACAGTAAAACTATAAAAGCCACCTTTAATTGGTAACTAGTTGATTAATACTGTTTTGCTTATATTACTCAGTGTAACATTAACACCGATATCACAGAATCTCTAGATAAGTGTATGTAAAACAAATTATTGAACTCTATGGATGAAAAATGAATTTAAAGTACTCAACTAGAGTTTTGAGAATGAATTTTCCAGGAACATCACGAATTAATACAAAAACTATTCCGAGTCCAGTCAAGACATGGATATTGTTCAGTTTGCTTCCAAAAGTGCACATTTAAACAAGTGACGTTTCACACTGCGTCATATATTAAGTTGAATAGGTTTTCGAACGGTGATTACTCAGCAACTTAGGACGGCTTGGAGAGTCTACGACTTTAGAATAGAGATGAACACCTCAAAATGACAAGGTAAAAGTAAGTTATAATCAACGTAGAGATTGGCTGTATACCTGCGTTGGCCCAAGTTACCATATCACATTATTACGAAGAAATGGAATTAGAAACACGAATAGCGAAAGAGTATGAATAATGTAGTAGATAGGAAGACAAAGAATAAACGCACTTAGGTCACCGATTTTGAGCCACATCACTCAAAGTCTCCAAAGTTAGTTCATGAAGACTGCAATGTTCCCCAACAGATAGTCTTCATCTACCAACATGATTCAGTTCAACTGTAACTGACTTTATAGACTAATCCTATGTTTTGGTTTGGTAGCTCTTAGATTTCTTTCAACTTACTCCTACATCAGTAAACTCCTCCCGTCGAGGTAAAGTAATTAGACATACGTAACACATATTCTAAAAACAAGTCGATGGATATTCTCAATCAAAGATATGTTTATGTAAAATGGACGTACTTATGATAAATATATTTACTTTAGGAGGTTATATGAGTAAACCAAGTATTTATTTATTTATTTGAACATATAAATATTGGTACAAAGAGGCACCGAATACATATGCGCCATACAAGTCACTTGATTTGTGTGTGGGCTGTGATACTGCCCGGATTCCCAGACCGAAGCAGGTGGTTTTCTTAGGGGGCCATGCCTGGAGCTTTCGACCTAAAGGTGTGATCCACAAGACAGTGGAGCAACGTAAGGAGATGAAGTCCCATGGTAGCCGATGGTCAATAATTGGTTCATACGCCATTTGTCCCTTTAGGATACTGGAGCCCATGTGCACCGTTGGTTTGAAATCAGGATTTTCCAGCTCCCCTAGGTGGACCCTCCATATCGACCAACCCGGTTTAAGCTCCGGACATTCGCTTTTCGTCCTCTCAATTTCGTAAACAACAGAAATTCCACTAGAAGGCGGTGAGTAGGACTTCCTTGGCAGAGGCTATATACGCATGGCCATGTGAGAGCATTTCAAGGGAGGAGAGCTGACTCTCTCCACTCCCGGCTGTACCAGGATATTTGGGTACTATTATATCAGCATAATTTTTGTGAAGGCGATAGTACCGTTCAAGCTTTAGAATCAAAGCTAGTTGATTCTAGTGCTTACCTATGATGCTTTTAAACAATCATGATTTCTTTCAACACTTCCACACCTAATTCGAATTACAAAAGATACAATACCTTTGAATAAGTTCAGAGATTTTCCTTTACCTTGAACACTGATTCATTCGTGATTACTAAAGTACGAATTAGAGAGTTGTGAGAATTAATAATTAGTATTTCAACTCAACTACTCCCGGTTTCAGGCCAAGTTGTTTGGTTTAAAAAGCAATCGAACATTGTCAGAAGACATTCCGTGATGGTTGCTAAAATAAATGGGTTCATTTACTAGACTCTCGAAATCATGGTAAATGATGATAGAGAATGAGCTTAGGCTACCTTATGTGGACTGTTCATACACTGGTCCTGTTTAAACATTGAAATCCCTTATTCCTTCGCTTTTATTTGAAATAGCCACGCCAAGTGAAGGCATTTCAGATGACATATGTAGCAGAGGCTATAAACGCGCAGCTACGATGAAATGAACAAACAACTAATAGATAGATATTATCAATCAAATAATATAGGACCAAACAGCCTTATAACAACCGAGGATTGATTTTACGTGAAAACAGATAACATATAGGTAATCGGGATTACTGAACACTCAAGACAATACAATTTTTTGTATCAATATTGTTGCTGTGATGCATAGTGATCAGGACTTTAGACATTAACCGAAAAAATCTAGTAGCTTACTGCGACTTGCCGTCGTAGGTGCAGCGATTTGGTGACCCCAAGCTGCAGGCATCCAACCATTTGTAGAATTGATAGAATGATCAGGCCAGTTTCCCAGTGGTGTACCAATATTTTGTAGAGGAGGGCCAGGACCAACTCCAGTTTGGCCATTATGTGGAGGATTGGGATTTGCATTAGCCCAGCCCAAAGAAGGCCAAGCTTGAGGTTGCCCATGAGAACCCCAGTTTCCAGGCCAGTGACTCCAGGTTGCACCTATAATATATATAACACGTTAATACATCTCACAGTAAGCGTAACTCATAAAAACCAAGATCTGTAGCGAAAGGTTTGTTTTGTGTCCAAAGAAAATATTGATCCTTTTAAACCCGAAGAATGATAACTTTTGTGACTTTCCAGCTGGTATCATAAAGTATAGATATTTGATTAGATTTCCATAAATCATTAAATAAGCTTACTATAATAACTGGTGACAATAAGTGACTGATGCTGAAAATATATATAATTAATTGGTTCTAAAACTTGACATGTAACCGTATTGACTTCTTATTTACTTAATAACCATAAATTGAGGTACAATTGGGCACCCCAAAATTGTGAGTCACACAAAAAATCGGATAATATTGTGAATAAATAACAGAGGAAACAAGAGTACAATCCGAAAATTAAATAAATGGATAAGAATAGGAAATATAGTTTAGTTAGAAATTCAACTAGGAAAGTTCTCAGTCAAGGGTGTCCATCTCACCTTTATAATCGATACTAGCTTTATAAGCAGACATGTCTGATGGTGTATCGAGTCATTGGGTTACACAACTCCGAGGACCACAACCAGTCCTATGTAGCTTTCTTTCATTCCATGGAGCGATTTCATATACTGACCATCTTTCAGCATTTTTCTATCAGCCCAAGTATCAACAAATAATTATCGACGTGGAAGTCGCTAGAATGGCATTCGTAAAACATGCCTAAACCACCGAAGCCAGTGGTTTAAAATGGTGACATAAACTGAGTTATTGTCACCGAGTACAAATGAAGGTGTGAATCTGTTGCCTGAAGAAAGACTTCTCGACCTTGAGTATGCGGACGATATTGTCTTACTGTGCGATAATGCCCAAGGCATGCAATCCGCACTTAATCAGTTGGCAATCAATGTCCGTAGGTATGGTATGTGCTTTGCACCTTCGAAGTGCAAAGCGCTTCTACAAGACTGGCAGAATTCGAATCCTGTACTCAGCCTGGATGGTGAGCAGATAGAAGTAGTCGAGAAGTTCGTGTATTTGGGTAGCTGCATAAGTGCTGGTGGTGGCGTGAGTGATGGGATCAATGTACTTATAGTGAAAGCCAGAGTGGCTTATGCCAATCTAGGCCATCGTGATGTCAGTCTGGCTGTAAAACGTCGAATCTACAACGCGTCGGTGAGAGCGGTTTTGCTCTATGCTTGTGAAACCTGGCCTCTCCGAGTTGAGGATGTTAGACGACTCTCTGTGTTTGATCATCGTTGTCTCCGAAGGATTGCTGACATCCAGTGGCAACACCATCTTAGTAATGCAGAGGTTCGGCATTGTGTGTTCGGGCGCAGAGACGATAATCCAATTGGTGTCACCATCTTGAAACACCGGCTTCGGTGGCTCGGACATGTTCTACGAATGTCGTCCCCGAGAATTTCACGTCGGGCATTATTCTCCGACGCTGGGGCTGGTTGGAAAAAGCAGAGAGGTGGTCAGTGTACGACATGGTGTCGTGGTATGAAAGAAACCTGCAAAAGGACGGCTTCTGTTGGTCCTTCACGACTCCCTGGCTGGGGTCCGAGAGATGGTGCGACACAGTGGCTAGAGACGTTATCAGATATGGCTCAGAATAGAGGCCAGTGGCGATCCTGCTGTAACCTTCTTTTACTTTCTTCATAAAAAAGTGGTTGTTTCTTCCTTAACTGGAAGATTTCTTCTGGCTGTACCTTTCCATTTCCCCCACCATTACTATTATTATTGTTATTATTATTATTATTATTATTATTATTACACTACCTTACACTAATCTGGTCATTATTGTTCTTTTTTACGCTCCTTACCTCCTTTTTTCTCCTCGAGTACTCATTGTTTTGTGTGGCGCATATATATTTGGTGCCCCCTTGTACCAATATTTATGTGTTCAGATAAATAAATAAATAACAAATAAAGTTTGCCGAAACTCAATATTACTAACATGACGTTACCGATGGATGTCAACAGCCCTTTGGAGACAATGATAATTGAACACAGATTCCTTGAGAACCCTCAGCTCGGAGAGGTCAAATTCTACAAGCATAAAACAAAACTGCTATCACTGATGAGTTGTAGGATTGACCATCCACAGCCAGACTGACATCGAAATGGATCCAAAGATAGCCTAGCCTACTTAGACTGGGTTTATCTATAACACCACTAAAAACAACGACACAATTACCCAGATATACGAACTACCAACTACCTCTAACGGATCACCTCAAATGGTAAGTGCATGCTTAGGTTCCTGACAGTCCTGCAGAATTATTTTGCACCCCAGTTAGATGACTTTTGAAACGTGTAACGCAGGAACATTCGGAAACTTTTCTAACTCAACAAGATTTCTGGAATAGTGACAGTATTATTATTTTTATATTATGTTAACAGTTGAACCTTATATAATCCTTAAAGAAGTCTATTGAAAAAATGAATCATTTAGTGATGCAAGATTTTTTATACTCATAATCTTCACAGAATAAAAGGCGACTGCTTATTATGATTAGTATCCAGTTTTCATAGGAGCTGTATTGTTTCCATACAAAATTTACTGCACTGAAGACAGCATATAGCAAAGAAATATTCATTCATTTTACTGGTATGAAACTTTTACTCATCACTAGTTAGCGAAATGCTTATTCTTATGACTTCATAGTATCCCTTGATGTTTTTGTATTATTTTGAAAATCCCATACTTCTCTACTACAGTCTACATGTTAAAGTAAATCGGCAACCCAAAAACTCCCGGTGACCTTTCTATTCCACAGTATGTGAAAAAATATCGCCCCAAAATACGTCAGCCAGTTATATGCAACGTAGAACCCGAGACACGCGTACATTGGCACATTGCCACACTCCATTAGCACAGATAGATGGGACTGTCAGAGGAAATTCCAGAGTAATAAAAGTAGCAACGGTGTTAGTGGCGATAAAAAAGATTGGGGACAGAAATATAATACGAGAAAATATGGACTAGTTGGATACAAATAATAAAAAATTATAAGGAATTTCGAAACTTAGGTTCTAAAGGAAGAGAACCAGTGAATGCATTAACGCCACTGAGGACGGTTTTGAGCCATGTCAACCAGTCTTTAATTTATTGGGTACGAAAATCACGCCGATCAAAAACAGGTAGTCTGCACCTACCTACATGACTATCTATAATACGTCTTCATGGACTAATTCCATGTCTTGGCATGGCAGCCCCTAGCTCGCTTCCAATCTACTACACTACCCATCATGGTGTGTCGAGGTAGCTGGTGGATGAATATAGGTAATAAGTGCCCTAAATATTGTAGTCGATAAAGGTTTACTGACTTTCCAAACGATTTGACATTTCCATTCATAGATCTGTATTTGACCTCAGAATTGCTAACTCGATGATCCCAAAATACACGAACAGCAACTCGATGACGCCTATGATCGAATACTAGTAACGCATGAATATTCTAACCACATTTATATCCAATATCTATTATTTGTTTTGCATCACTAGTGAATGTGCTTCATCTACAAACAGATCGGTACTTCCGTTACATTTTGGCGTGCAAATATCTACTGCTTATATAGTTCCCTTTTCTACTTGATTGACCACAGAATTTGACTGACGAGCGTGATAGTATCGTGTACCTCTTTAGACCGCTCTCCACTGCGTGGGACAATTGGCTTGGATTACCTACCAAAACTTTTATTGGCTCAATACTACTTTTAAGCGAACTCTTATAGTGGTGGTTACCCAACAAGGAACCATCAAGTATAACAGTTGTTATTATTTTATCTTTTAGTATACAAAATTTTGTGTAGTGTTATATATGCCGTTTGATCTGGGTACTGCTGTTCGGCTCTTTCTAGTTATTGTTCGTTTTGAATATCATCGCATCTTGATTAAGCTCTCGTCACTACATAGGTGATATTGCCGACCATGGAGGGTGACGACGGACCCCAAGGGACAACTGGTTGTGGCTGGTCGTACATATGGGAAGGTTTTGTGTTGGCTCCTCACTTGGAAAAGGCTTACCACAAGACACAGAAATTCGTAGGGTAAAGTGTGACATTTTTGGGGTTAACCTTTTATCACCCCTTTCTTTCGTTGTGAGAAGGCAGTATTGCCGTAGATGCTGATTGTCCGAGGGAAACATCCTACTGCTGTCACACTCCTCTACAATCAGCAGAACGATTTCACCCTTGGACCGTAAATTGCTGCTTTAAGTCCATCTCAAGCCGACCTACCGAGCATGGCAGGACCAAAAGGAACATGTGTCCCAGCCAATATAGCTCGGTTCAGTCATCACGGTAGACAAGTCCGACAACCACGTCAAGGTAGCAGATGCAGCCGGGTATGCTTTTCTCCTACGCAGATCTAAAGAAACGAATGGCTCACTATTTCACCCGACAACGTTGAAGCTTTTATGTGCCCACCACTCATTTCATCGTTTACTAGAAGAATGTGATATCTAAGTCCAGACCGATATCATTGAGTTTGCCTATGTTACCAGACTAACGGACTTGATGCAATGTAGTTGACAGGCCATTTAGTCTGTACAGACTTGCTCCGAAGTTACATCACTAATTATCCTGACTTGCCCTATCGAAGAAGAAGCTTCGAAAATGAATTCGCCGAAAAGAGAACTCTTCGCTGAACTAATCTTTCTTTCTTAATTAATTATAAAGCGATCGCATGTTCATTTTTCGTGTGTGAATACGAAAGTATAGAGTTCAACCTAGCATATGGCAAACACCAATGATGAGTAAATGTCCACACTTTTTCTGCTTTTACTCACAAAGAATGACTCAACAACAAATAATCTGTAAACGAGGTACATGAAAGGTCAACTACACCAGTAGCACTTTCAAAACGAATAGAGAACCACTGTGTTCTATAGCTGGGAAGTATAAATTGAGTATTTGAAAACCAAAATTTACGTAAAAGAGAAAGTGTGATAGCTGGATAAGGACTTACAGGAACCGTTGGGTTGAGATGTAACATATTGTTTCTTTTGAACACTACGAACAGGACGTCCGTTTCCTTGAACAGATGGTACTGAGTTAGAAGAGACCTGGTAGTCAGATTTCTGAGTATTAGGTGGTTTCATTGCTTTTATTTCAACCTGGCATACTAATAAGTTAAAATTTAATAACTAACCTGTTTCCCATTCAGGTTTAAGTAGTGCAGTTTGATGAGATTCCTAACCACCTCTTCATCGTCAAACCCAACAAATGCAAAGCCTACAAGTCAGTTATTAGTAGTTAGAGCAGACTACCTCTATGGCGTGGTTTGGTTTGGCCTGCTAGTAAGTTAACGTCGGTAACCTACAAGAAGTAGACTGGTAATGGAAAGACAAACCCTTCCATAGCTAGAAAAGAAATTCCTAATTATATTTTCATCATGATCAAAGGCAATTCCTCCAACAAACACCTTGAGGCTACGACGATTCTAAGTACTGAGTAAAATTTGAGACTTTGGACTACCTTTCCTTTCATGTTAACATTGCACCGTTTAGGATCGACTTCTTTAAGGTCAATTAGGTGAGTTTTTTGTCTCAGAACCCAATCGACAGATTCATCGTTTTTAAACTTGACATAACCGAAGCCTCTTGATCGACCGGTTCTGTTGTCCATCATAACTGTCGACTCTTCAATATCTCCGAATTTCGAAAAATATAGTTTAAGGGAGTCTATACGGATACATTAGAGTAGCACATGAAATACCATTAGTTGTAGACTGATGCAGCCCTCCCACAAACAGCTTTCTGGTGGTTTGAAAATAAAACAACAATTATTAAGATTACCCAACTTCATTGCCCTGAGGATCGATGGACATATCAGGCAGTTTAGACTGAGCCAAATTAGCCGCTCTTTCTTATACAACGACCTTAAGGGACTGAAATAACGGCGGGTTTTCTGCCTTGTCCAATATCTTCTTGGTAAGCTATTGAAAACTATCTGATTTCTTTGCACTTGCATCCTAATGCTCAATTGCGGTTTCATATCGCAGATATCTCACAGTATGTCTGATCTATACACGAGCTCTGGTGTATGGTGACATATATTCAGTGATTTTTGTAACAACAAAAATAAAAACCACATTTTTTCTCTAATTTGCCACACTTTATTTCTAACCACATTTTTATTCGGTATCTGTTGTTTTGCTGTATCATTTGTTAAAAAAGACGATGATAATTGTTTCGACGAATGATATACGATTTTACTACTGCGTTGTTTAAAATATAGAACACTATCTATGCCGTTTGTTCTTCTGTTTTATTGGCCACCGTTTTGATTGAAGACTATAATAGTATTATAACATCATTATAGGCCTTCCGACTCAACGTTGGACTTTTGGCGCGGATTACTATTGTATAACAGTATTGGACTCCGTCTTCCTCATCACGTCATTGGTGCAGTCACTTGCAGAGGAGCACCTGTCAATCAAGTGAACTCAGTTTGTGGTCGTTGTTCTCACGAGGCAGTTCACAAGTAACATTCATTCTATAGTAACTGTTAGTGTCTGTTTGTTTAATATACCTTTTGTATTGCTAACGGTATTTTGTTACTCTTGGTTTTACTAACGGACAGACATCTAGGTTTCTTTACTATTAATTTTTTTTTGGTATACCACTATTAACCTAGTGTATCAATATATTTCGTGTAAGCCCCTTTTGTTTGGGAACCACCACAGGTGGCTTTGACAATTAATTGAAGGTCATAATTTACAGAGTATAAATTAGTATCATCATTTTGAGGCGTTTGGGTTGCCAGAACCAAGATATATCCCATAGCTAGACAGGAAACTGGTTTACCACAACTTAGAAAACCACAAACTTAAAATGCATGCATCCAAAGCGATGACATCCAGAACTGGGAAATAACTTGGTTTATCAGATAGCATGAACAAATTTGTGGTGGTCGGTATTCTATATAATCCTTAATCCTCGTATATATTTCCTCTTGATAACCGTCACTAGATAACGCCCCAACGGTGTATTATTCAGAAGGCGAATACGAAGTGTTGATTACGTTTATTATGAGACCACAGATATATACCCAATTTACAGATACATTAAGCAAGAGTGAAAGAGTAATACCGAAAAGCTATCAGCAGGCAAGCGAGCGAGTCAGCGAACACAAGTAAGAGTAACCGAGTACAAATAAGCGAGTGCAATGGACATGAATAGAATGCACATATATATACATAGTGAAATGAATGAATCATCGAATCAATTAAGCGGTTAGTAATAAAGCTAGCAGAGCGAATATTTACGTAGGCATTATACAATGCTCAGGTACACATATATTCATACAACTGTAACAATAATAAGAGTACAATGATATAGGTGAGCTGTTATTGCTTGAGTGACTCTATCCGTTAAATATGTGAACAAAAGGGCTTAACCAAATTAAAAAAGAACAAACTCAAGTTCATGTGAGCTGCTATAAAGTATAATATTAACAGTAAGATAAAGACGATACATAGCAAACTGGACAAATATGGGCCAGTGATATTAATGATAATAATAATAGTAGGGGGAATAATAATAAGTTAGGGGTACGAATCAAGCACAACCGTTCCATGTGAAAGATGGCAAACCGTGGACGAATGCTTGTCTGACAAGCCCACTCATGAAGTCGACCACCAAAGAGGTTTTGTCACGTTCGATGGAAGATGGTTTCCTATAAGGTAGAGTCCTGATGATAAAAGGTGTTAAATTATGTGGGTTTGAGTCCTCGATGTTCAATCTGTAGTTCGTCACCTTGTACAGAGTAATGTTAAGGTTCAGATAGGATATTTTGATTTAGCTTCCCGTGAAAGTTGCTAATTAATATGAAGAACAACTGAGGTCTCTGTATGACCTTTTTTGAAATCCAGGATAATGACCCTCTCTAGTGCAGTCGCATTTAGTTGACTTTAGTGGGGAACGCTCGGTTATGAGGGAAGTTCTTTGACCAGAAAAGGACTGGGTCTGTGAATCCTATCGACTCAATCTCACCCAATAAGACCGAGTACAGCATTGTCAAGTGCCTTGGAACAGTCTGGAAATAGTGAATGCGACGGCTCTTTCTGATCTCAGCATCTTTTCCAGTTTTTCTTTACTGATATAGCGTTTATTGTTCCGGACCATTCTTCTTCGGCGCCACAGTGATCTTTACCGAGGAGTTTTTAGACGCCAATAGTCTCCCTCATTCGGTTGTCAATCGAACTTTATAATAACTTTGAGAATATTAAAAGCAGTTCTACGGGTCTGTAGCAGCTCAAGTCCTTTGTATTCTTCCTTGAGGATCATGAAGCGGACTTCCTTCATTCTATTAGTAGAGACTTAAATTATATGAAGTGCTGAAATAGGTCGTTCGCTGAATATAGGTTTCAATGAATTTCTTTATATCAGCTCTGGTGTTACTCATGTATTTCCCTCACTATTGTCGTTGGTGGAGGTCCAGTTTGTGTTGGTTGCTGACTAATACACTCCCTTTTCGGGCAAATCACATGTTCTTGAATTGTGTTGAAGCAAGTTAGAATAGTGCTGGATGACTGTCTATCGTAGGACGAGTGAATTGCATACTCAAACAGATCATTCATTGTTCGTCTGAAGCAATTTAGTGTCATATTAGTGTAAAGGAGAAATACGAGCATTATATCGGTTTGAATTCAGTGGATCAGGGTCTTATTTAGTCACCCGTCAGACAGTGCATTGGAGGCTTCTATAGTTTAGAGGTTTGTGGGAGTTTTGCCTTGAGTTCCAGTGGCGAGGAAAACCCAGAATCATGCTATTCTTTAGAACGTGAATCAACAGAGTAATGACATTAGTAGGTCGTTTGGATTTGATTTTTCATATCTACTCAGGATATTTTCATCAAGACACTCATTCGCCCGGAAAGTCATCAATATTGCTCAAAAACTTCAGAAATCTCTGTGATGTAGAAAGACTTGTGGCCCGGCATAATATCACAACTGGTTGTTGGAGGCCGTGGACAAGGTCGTAGCTTTCCCTGGCCAAGCATCGCATCCCCTCTAGGTGATTAGGTGCGCACCCAAATGGTTCAAATGGTTGTGAACAGAGTAGAAGGAACTTTTGCTTAACAGGCTTCCACGTCTAGTAGCAGGGGATCACCAAATCCTCCAGGCAGGAACCTAGGTATGTTAACAATAAAAGAAGAAATAGGAATTAGTAAATCATAGTGTGATATTATCCTTAGTCCTTAAGAATAGATCAAGTTACCTCTTAATGGACTCCTGGGAAGTCGCTCGGACTAGCTCGACCGGCAGCGCATTCCAGCATTTGACAACTCTTAAGGAGTAGAAGTTGTGTCTACAGTTCGTTTTGCTATGTTGTGTCTCCAGTTTTTGGGTGTTACTCCTTAGGTTAGTGTTGGAACTAAGCTTAAGTAGGTGTTTGAGAGGACGTGCAGAGGTGTTAAGGATACTGTAAGCCATCAGAAGGTCACCTCTAAGACGTCTATACTCTAATGGATAAAGGTTAAGTGAAAGGAGGCGCTCTTCGTAAGGTTTGAATTTGAGTCCTCGAACTAATTTCGTGACTCGCCGTTGGATACGCTCCAAGGTGTCCTTCTCCTTTTGAAGTGAGGGAGGAAATACTATGTTTCCGTACTCTAAATGGGGACGGATAAAACTATTGAAGATTATATGGAAAGTTCTTCCGTCAAACTGGCCAAAAATGCGCTTCAATGTTACCAGTGCAAGGTTTGCTCAGAAGGCATTTTTATCACAATCAGCATAAGACTTTAAATTGTGGGGCACCAGGACTCCTAAGTCGTTTTCGACTTGGGATAATACGATAGAGGAGTTTCCTAAGTCATAACTGTAGTCTGCTACATGTCGCAGATGGACTACTTTACACTTTGAAGTGTTAAAGGTATGTCCTTTATCGTCTGCTCAACTTTGAAGTCGAGTCAGATCCTCCTTAAGTGCCTGTATATCCTCTTGGTTGCGTACCTCTTCCCAAAGTTTCACGTCATCAGCAAAAGTAATACGTTTGACGACACCTGTTGTGAAAGATCATTTATATATATCAAGAAAAGAGGTCCTAGTACTAAGCCCTTGGAGACCCCACTAGGACATTCCATAGCCTGAGATAAAGTAAAGTTAACCCTGGCCCTAAAATGTCGAGTTTTCAGATATGAAATGAGCCAATCAATTAGAGATGGTCTGATACCCAATCGTTTGAGCTTATTAATAAGACATGTATGGTTAACCTTATCAAAAGCTTTTGAGATATCTAGGTAGATGATATCAACCTTCCCATTGTGATCGAGGATGCTTGTCCATCTGTCCACCGCAGTCAGCAGGTTGGTTATACAAGAGTAACCCTTCCTGAAACCATGCTGTTGGGGTGTGAAGAAATTTAAGGACAGTAAATAGTCATTTATACCATCACATATCAGGGACTCCATGATTTTTGAAGGTATTGAGAGAAGAGCCACCGGTCGGTAACTTGAAGGTTTGCTGCGTCGACCTCCTTTGAAAATTGGTGTGATGTGAGCCAGCTTCCAATTTTCCGGTAGTATTCCTCGGCTTAGCGAGTGTAAGAACATCACGCTAAGCGGCGTTGCCAGGATTGAGGCTGCTTCCCTCAGTATGGCAGAATGAACCATATCCGGGCCAGGAGAAGTGTCAACTCTTAAGTGCTGCAGTTTCCGGAACACCAAGTCAGCGAACAGGTACACCTCGGAAAGTCCTTTGGAGTTGCAGATGAAGCTTTCGTCAGTATAGTTTATGTGGGTCGGTCTAAATGTCCGAGATTATTGTTCAGCCAAAAGGTTAGCGGCGTCGTCGTTGGTCGGGCCGTTAAGACCTAGCAGTTGGGAAATTCCTGTTTTGGCTTGATGAAGAGAGGCTGCATAACGGAATAAGCTTTTAGGATTAGAGGCAAATATTTCCA